AACGCCGCCTCCGTCCCCCGGAATCCCGTTGCCGGGTGCCGTCGGCGTCTCCTCGCGCAAAACGGCGTCGCTTGCCCTGGCCCACGAGCCTCCGTCACGTCGAGGTCGAACTCACTCTCTGAGTCTCTCTCCCCCCCCCAACCTTGGCGTGATGCATCCGCTCTGCTCTCGCCCTCCCCGCCCTCCTCGTCATCTGCGAGAGGTAGCAGCTGCGGGGGAGCGGGCGATGCAGCGGGCACGTGGCGCCAGGTGAAATTGCGGGTGGTGATTACGGTTCCAGCTTCGGTTAGCATGCGAACGCAGTCACGGGGGTGATTGTGGGCAGGACCAAGTTACCATCCTTTTTCGCCCTTGGGTTGCGANGGAGCGGGCGATGCAGCGGGCACGTGGCGCCAGGTGAAATTGCGGGTGGGATTTACGGTTCCAGCTTCGGTTAGCATGCGAACGCAGTCACGGGGGTGATTGTGGGCAGGACCAAGGTACCATCCTTTTTCGCCCTTGGGTTGCGACTTTGCTTTTCTTCTCGACTTCAACACGGCTGGTTTGAGAAACGGGTATGTAGACCCGACAGGCGGTGGGGAGTCGTGGAACATCTCGTAGGCGGATTTGTCTCCCTCGTTTGATTTAGTGGCGGTGCAGTTCAGCTGATGGAATGCACACGAAATGGCCTCGGTCCACAACCCGGGGTGGTTCGGTGCGTCGGGGAACAGTTGCATCGCTTGGATTCGTGACGCAAGCGCGGCATCAGTGATCAACCCTAGCGCCCTCTCCGCCGTTGTATTTGGGGTGTGAGGGGGGTGAACTCTTGTTTGATGCCGTGTCTGCGGCAAACTTCTGCAAACTGCCCCTGGAACTCGCCGCCACCGTCGGTACGTGCGATATAAACCTCACACGGAACCCCTTTCGTTCGGTAGTCCGCCAGGAACTTCTCAAACCCAACCGCTGCGTCAGACTTGTGTTTCAAGAAGAAAACACGCGTCCAACGGGAGAAATCGTCTCTGATGATCAGTGTGTACCAGATGCCACCAATGTTCCTGGTTTTCATCTTTCCCCCCAAGTCGAGATACACGCGAAATAACTTCTTAACTGCGCGTGTGCTCGTGCTCTTCTGGACGGGTTTCACCTGTCCCTTGGACATCGAACAGCCAAGACAGGGTAGCAGCGGTCCATCCGTCAGCTGCACTCCCTGCTGCTCCGCCGTGATCCTGAGCAATGTCTCGTGGGCATGGCCGTGCGCGAGGTGGTACTCGTTGAGGTCAGTGGGGTTGGCTGCTTTCGCATCGCCAGGAACAATGAGTGCGGCACAGGCGGTGTGTAGCGTTGGCTTTATTTGATAGCCTCGTTGGGTCAGCAGCTTTCCAGTCCGGGGGAACCACACGTCCCCCCCGGCTTTCGTGGTCAGCGTGAGGCCCCCCTTCATCCCCGAATACGTGTGGCCCTCCTCCGCCAACGAAGACAGCGAGAGGAGGTTGTAGGGGGCCTCTGGTACATGGGCAGCATTCAGTGCTGGTACGGGTACTCCACTATCTTCCGTCTGTAGGACTAAGGTCACATCTCCGTATCCTAGAAGAGAAACGAAGGCCTTGTCGCCTCCCATCCCCTTCACCCAACCGCTACGCTCACGGTAGTTCACGAAGTTGTCTGCACATCGCAACATGGAGCACGTGGCCGCTGCGTCGGCCACGTACACTGCCTGGCCTTGTTCCACAACCCCCCACCAGACCTACTTCACCAACAGTACCACACTCGCCTGGGGGGACTGCCACGGCACAAAACGCCTGGTCTTCCACGGAGTCCACGTCGCTCCCATGCTCCACCACTTGCGCTAGGACGGCCTCCTCCGTCGCGCACTTTTCTTTGGTGTGGCCCCACCCCTCGCAGCGCGCACACCACGGCACGAATCCTTCTCGTTGGTAGTGCAGCCGATCGCTTGATGTCCGCGATGTCCACACCTAAAGCACCGGCCCGGGAACTTAAAGTCCCCGCCACCGCCGCCATCGGTGCCTCCACTGCTGCTTCCCTTGCTCTCCTCGACTCCTCCGGATCCGCCTAAGCGGCCGCCGTGACCGCCGCCGCCGCCGCCGCGACCGCCTCCGCCGCGGCCACGACTGCTGCTGCGGCCACGGCCGCCGCCACGACCACGACCTTGCCCCTGACTCCTACTTGAGTACCGCTCCCTGCGGCCCTCACCGTCGGCGAAGTACGCTTGCTCTGCGCCCTTCACCCCTTTTCCTTTCCCCTATTCCAGCTTGTCCTTGATCGCCTTGTATTCGATCATTACTTCCGTTAGGACACCGGTCCGCGTCAACTCCTTCGCGTGTCGCAGGTTGTGCTTTGCCATGGCACTCGTCCGAAAGGGCATCCAGGACGAGGTGAAGGACGAACGTTTCGTTCACAGTTAGTCCTTTCTCGGTTGAGGACTTTGCGCTTTGAAGCATCTCAGTAAGGGCGTTTTGAGGGTTTTCACCTCTAAAGAGCTTGGTCGACGTCAGGGACTTGAGGTCCTCTGACGGCTGTACAGATGATTCAGGGTCGTGCATGGTGTTGAGCTCACGAAGAGCTCCCTGGGGCATCTCTGCCCTCTTCATGATTTTCCGATCTGTTTCTTTCCACGCGTGAGACAGGAAGTTCCACGCGTGGAATGCGAGCTCTACTTGCTCGCTTCGGTGCTGCTGTGACAGCGAAAACTTGCTCTTTCCGCTGTTGACGGGGATCTCCAAGCTCCTGCTCTCTTCAAACTGTTCCAACAGGTTTGCGCGATTAGCTGCCATGCGGAAATCATTTAGCCATTCGTTGAAGTCTTTCGATTTCCCGCTGAACGGAGGAGAAGTGTACCGCACACTTTGGTACCCCATCGCTGGGGTTGTGGCTCCGTATCCAAAGCCAACAGCAGCACCACCATCTCCCATGGCACTACTATAATCTTGGTTGTGAGCAGCGGCTACTCTCACCTCTTAGGGGACAAAGCCCCCTGCTTCGCCGCTGTGTCGCCCTGACGGGCCAGACTCTCGAACAGGTTCGCGCAGGTACCTCCCGTCCTGCGCACTCCCGGTCCACGGTGCCCCTCCTTCGGCGTTCGTGGACTCCGCGGCGGCGCTCTCCCTAGCATCGCCGCGATCAGCGGCACCCTCCATGGTGCCAGCTGGCTCCTCCTCCTAGCTTGCCTTCATGGTATCTTCCACTAGCGACATTAGCTGGCTCATCTGATCCGTCAGCGAGCTAACTTGCGTCCTCAGGGCCACGAGCTCTTCTCTTGACCTCTTTGTGTCTTCCGCCGCAGAGTCGCTGGAAGAGTCACCCCCATCTTTGCGACCTGACATTCCTAATGGACTCTCCCTCGAGGGACTGAGACTAGTGTGTTCGAATATGTCCTTGGAAGGGGAAGACGTTTTATCTCATGTATTAGACACGCAAGGGGAGTAGGGAGAAGTGAAGCCCTCTTTGGAGTTCGAGGGGTCCCCGCACATGCAACCATTTCAAGGTGTACATATGCCCCATCTGCGTACCCTCTGTTGTTGCCGGTAGATCTAACCAGTCCGTACCCAGACACACGAACATTCCTCAAAGTCGAGGATGGCAAGGGTGGTTGCATGGGAACTAACGTAGAGTATTGCGTGTTGAATGTTGAGTCCTCAGGGTAGTGCATGTTGTACCATAAGTCCGGGCCTGGTTGCTATCTTCACTCGACCTCTACGATTGGAGGAGGAAGGATTTAATCCGCGCCCGAGAGCTTTTGAGGTGTCGTACAAGAAAACTGTTAACACGCCTTAACCCTGCGAGAGGAAACCTCGATATATGAATGACGTCACAGGGGGGGCGCGTCACACAGAATATGAGCTGGATGCGATGGCAGTGAGGTTTGGTAATGTTGGCCGCACATCGGCAGTTGTGCTGTAGGGGTAGACTAGAACCGAAACTAGAGATTTCCAAGAATCTTCCAGCGGAATCATTTCATGGCCACGCCGGAGCAGCAATAAAAGCAAGGAGTGAATCCCTAAGCGTACCGCTGTTGCAGAGGGGGCGTCCAAGGCAGGGAAAGGGCGCTATTAGTGTCGCGGCACCATCGAAGTGGATTGTAGTGCACGACGATCTTGCTGCTTCCCGCCTAGCTGAGTCTTTCATGGCAGAAAGTGCAGGTGGTTTTGCGGTTCACCTCCGAAATTTAGTATATCAGCACCTTCTTACACTCGTAGTGGTGCGCTTCGCACCAGTGTTACAGTCCCCTCTAACCGTTACGCGACATAATTAGCCTCAAATTGTTTTGGGCTTCCTCCTTGAGCGGCGGCTCTTTGAAGGTAAATGCCCCAGTACCGTTTCGTGTGTGCACAAAATCGCGAAGGTACAAACATACGAATCACGGCAGCGAGGAGGGGTACAGAGACAACAAGGAGTCATCCATGTGTGTTTACGACCTTTCAGCAGACAGAGCAATCGGAACTGCACAGTCACATAAGGGTTACACCCAACGCCGTCGAATACGTTGATGGCTCAACGTTGAAGTCTCGTCACCTGAAATGCGTTCTTCAGGTCCACGTCGAGTGAAATCAGAGGCGGGGGGTAGTTCCGATCAAACAAAATGTCGGTGTCTTCCTGGTTCACACAACAATGGAGAGAAGGGTGCAGGTTGAAACAAAGCAGTATCGCGAGTATACGCAAGGAAGCCGTATTTGGTGTCTCGGTCACATGAGAAGGAGCGCGCTGGACGTAGCCGGAGGTCGAAAGCGCGTCCGACGAATGACACCCTTACAGGCTGAACCCTTCACTTGTTTTCGTTGGCAAACCGCCCCAAAAGGTAAAACATCCCAGTATGCACCGTACGGACGACGGAATTTGCGAAAAAATCACGAAGGACCGTTGGGAGGACGTCCATCAGTCAGGGTAGGATACTGGACACAGACACAGTTTCAACAAGACTTGATGGCGTTTCCAAGAACGTTCAAGGTCAGCGCAGGACGGGTCGATTTCTGCACCAGGTCCCTTGCGCGAAGAAACCTAATGCTGCTGCGGAAGAGTCACAAAACACCCACATCAATCGCCGCACAGCGGCGTACAAAACTGTGGAAAATGTCTCACCGCGAAAGAGCAACCACGCATGCTGACATCGCATCCGGATCCTCCAAGAAGAGCTCTAATATTTTTTTTCAGAGCGAACGATCAAGACGTGAGCGGGTACGCATTGACGTGCATGCTGCAGCCGTCAGGCCATTGACCTTGTCCCTACAAAAAGCCTGGGCGGAGCACGCCGGGTTCTCACCGGACCGTGCTCGCACATCACCAAGCGCGAATGGGGGAAGGGGGGTCCAAGAATTGTTGTCGAGCACCAGCAATAAAGTGGTGGAGAGCGCATGCTGAAAGAGGCGGAGAGAAGGCACCCCCCTTAGGCCGACTTTTAAAGCTCTATTGCTGCACAGCCAAGGGGGTGCGGAAGGAGCCCGATACAGGACAACGGAAAGCCCTCGGCGGCATGATTCCAAAACCAAGATTTTCGGTGTTGACACAATTTTGGTTGTGGAGAAAATCGAGCATTGAAAACCGCTCTTAGGGTGTGTGTGACCTCTCCGCCTCATACGGTAGTCGTGGGTAGTCCCAACAAGAGGGAATAAACTGCTCAACCTTCCCGCTTGAACCTGGAGGAAAGGGGAGAAGGAAAACAACAGTGTTCTGGGTTCGTATCTGTGTAAAGCCGATAGGGCTCTCTTGGCAGTGATGTCCATTTTCACTCCTTACACTAAAAACCTGTATGGTTTAGAATAGCTAGTGGTAACCCGCAACGAACGTCAAAATCCATATTATATGCAGAATACCCATAATGATAAAACGTAAAGAGTGCAATAGTCTACTTCTATATGATATAGAAATGCTGTTCTGATAACCCGCCACGAGAGTTAATAGCAACTTCGAAGTATTGGTATAGAAATGCTACAATGAAGAACCGCAAGTTTGTCAACCTCCAAGGGGTGCTCACAGTTGTGGGCCTTTAGGAGGTGGCCAGCATTCCCACGAGGGTTAGGGTTAGGGTTAGGGTTAGGGTTATCCACAGAGCTCCAAAAAATGGTAAAAACACAAAAAATGGTAAAAACACAAACAAGTCCAACAGTGTTTCAGGGCATCTCAACGGTACAGGGCCTTGAGAAATTCGACGTATGGCAGTGCCGGAACAGGGACATGTCTTCAGAGTACCGGTAGAGCTTCGTTCGGGCGGCTTGGGACGCGAAAACTTCAGCTTACACTGGAGGTCCCGCAATAAAGCGGTCGCCCTAGAGAAGGCGGGTGAATTTAGGCTGGCGCTGACGGAACAAATCAAGTTTTTCTGCTCATTGAACACTGCGGCTGCCCAATTACTGGCGGTCGTGAACCAGCTGTCCCAAAATCGCCTTACTCGGGGACCCCCCAAACTGCACCTTACGATGGACCGGCCGCCCGTTTCCGTGAGCGGGTTCCCGTTGAGGTTGAGCTTTCTCAGCGTGGTGTTGAGGCAGAGCATGCGCGACAGGGCGAGGCTGGCCCGCCCGCCAACGCGGTTCCAAGATAGATCGAGCGACGATAGCTTCTCTCGCCAATCATGCAGGAATATACAAGATTGGGACAAGCGGTCGTGTAAGAACAACGGACGGTTACGACGGTACACAGGCAGGCAGGCAGGCAGGCAGACACGAAAGTAGACAGGCAGACGGACGGTCAGATTTTTGAACAAAAAGGGTGGAGGTATACCATACTTGAGCGAGAGGTTTTCATTCGACCGGCTCATCGGAAGCCGGGAAGGTGCCGAAAGCCAACCCACGCACGGGTACTTGGGGAAAAAATCGTCTTGATCGACACGCGCGGCAAATTCTTCAGCAAATCCCGAAGACAAGAGCTTGGGGATCGATCGTTACTGGCTGTTTCGTAGCGGCCTACGGGTGGATGTTACCGTTATGGCTTAGAGGCCAGGATTTCCCTGGTTGGAAGTGCACATCACGACCAAAATCAAGATTGCCGTCAATATTTCTTACAGGCTATTGGAAGCCAGTGTTGTGAGGCTTCGAATCGATCGTCGGCGCAGCGTCGAGGCGATTTGGTGGGCAAAAGAGAGTCGATTCCTGCACGTGGCTGCGCTGGACGGTTCTGTTGTCGCTGCAGCTATAGCTTTTGCATTGTTTTCTGTCGTTCTTTGAGATGTTTCACGCAGCTGCTGCTGCTGCGGTCGATCGTGTTATCGTTGACGCTCGGCACTGCTGCTTGGGCTTTTCACTATTCTACAGGTGCAGCATTCGCGGGAATAACTTCGGCGCGACACAACCAACTCCCTGACACACCTGCCGGTTGTCGAGAAGGGCGTTGGCGAGAGCAATGGTGCTGTCCTCGGAGAAGCTGTTGAACGCTAGCTCGAGCTTCCTCAGTGTCCTCTGTTCATACGGTAAAAAATAAAAATCGTTCTGATTTTGCGGTGGTCCAAACTACTGTATCGTGGGGAATCACAAATATTGCGGTTCATTCCTACACGAGCGCGAGCTTCCGCAGTGTCGTCTGTTCCAACCTTGGTCAAGTTTGAAGAGTCGTGTGACCTTGCTTGCGCCCATCCGATTTCGTGTCGTTATTGTGTTCAATTTGTATCCATTCCAGAGATCAAAGACGGGATCTCGAACAGCCGTAAAATTTTCAAGTGCTCGTGGTTGGTGCAGGGTAAGACTCATCACCACTTCATCTGTTTGATATTTTCGTGAATGTAACACCTGCCATATTGATCGTTTTGGTACACAGGAAACATCTCGAAAGGCAAGAGCATGTTCGGGAATGAAGTTGATTTGTTGCCGCAGGGATTGCTGCGCAAGTTCGTGCATGGGTTTTCTCGTACGTCGGAGCGTGGAATCAAAGCGTAGTAGAGAAGACAACGCTGGGCATTCCGCGACAACAAAACAAAAAATCGACTTGTGAGCAGCACACCTCAGGCGTCCATCCCACA